TAAGCAGATAGGGTGTCAGAACTTATGCGCATATGAACCAGGAAATATTGTCCGGTTTGTGTTATGCACTTGATTATTTTTTTTAGTCCTGGTTATGATTCAATGTGAATTATTTGTATAAGAAACATATTTTTGCAGAATTTAGTTACAATCTAACAAATATCATCAACTTTTAACTATTACATTCACAAAATGAAAAACAAAATTATTTTTTCATTAATTACATTAATTATGTTATCACTTTGCTTATGGAGAATTTAACTATTATCACACTTGATTTGCGAGATTTTCTTCTCATTTACCTACAATAATTATTTTATAAATTAACCTATATAAAAGGATTTAAATTCATTCAGTAGTGACTCGAGATTAATTAATTAGTGATACTTTAAGCATGGTTCAGTTTTTTTTTTTTTTTTAAGAAACCTGATTTCATTATGAAATCGGAAAATGATAAAGAGTTGGACCATGATCCTTGAAAGATAGAAGTCTAAACAAATCGTAAAGTTGAGCCCACCCAAAACACAAAATGAAAGCTCACCCACAAATACATAAATCAGAAAAAAAACACAAGAAAAACTCCGAAGCCCACCCCAACACCCACGGTAACCCAATCCAGAAAAAACCCAAACACACCAAACACCACAACCCAGCCCACAAAACAACCCAAGCATGGTTCAGTTAAATAAAATATAGTTAGAGAGGGAATGCCCAGCCGGATTTGTTGAAACTAAATGGCCAACCTATTCCCATTAAAAAAAAGGCCAACCTACACTACCTTGGGCGGATCCTTCTCCACTCCCCCACTCCCCCACCTTCTCTACTGCCCAGTATCCGATTTTTTTGGATCTTCTATGAGGTGAAGGCTGCCGCATTCCAAGCCATTATTTCTTTATTAAATACATTCATTATGATTTTCATTTCATGTTAATTAGTGGTGGTGTGGGCCGGGCCGGCCGGGTTGGCGCATCAAATAATATCTAGCAACTTTGAGAGGTAATTTTGGACAAGAATTGTTGACACAGTCGCAATTAGCAATGTTTTTAAAACGGAACCGGACATCGATCCGGATTAGTAAAGGGTTCAAGGTTTATCAAATAACCGGTGGTTAATCGATATTAAAAACCGATCATAAACCGGTGTTGACTTACTTGGTAGACTTAACAATTATTTTTTTTTACAATTATTGTTTCACTTATTAGAGATAAAAGAATAAAGTGAGAGTTATTAAAACTGAAAATGCATAATTTGGGTGGCTGCTAGGTCTTTTTTGGGAAAAGTGAACTGATTTTTCTTCTCTTTATATTTTATTCTGTACTTACCTTCTTTTGTTTTTTAATTTTTAATTGCAACAAAATAAAAGGAAGGCGCATGTTTGATTTTAAGAAGGTGGGTCGTTCCCCTAAAAAAAAAAGGTGGGTTGTGAGTTCCGTGACACACCCGCCTCTTGAACTCTAAATGGCCAACCTTCTCCACTCCCCCACGAGGCCACAAATCCTTCTCCACTCCCCCACTATCCCACTTTCCACACACACACACGTACTCCACTGCATGCGGCCAAGTAAATCACATGTGTAGAATCACTTTCTCTCCTTTATATAATGGAGATACTACTTTCTCTCATGTTACAATTTCCGTTTACTACTTCCCATACAAAACACTTCGGTTCCATTGACCGTGCGAATTGCATTCAATATGGCGGGCCTGCCTCAATTCAATCAGTAAGTACTGCTCATGCATCCAACAAATACTACATCATGTAATTTCGATTCTTTTTCACTACTTAATGCCAAAACTTACAGTCCAATATATAGGCTTCCCCATGGTTTTATTGCTAATCTGCAATATGATGATGCTCTTGAAATTTGTGAGCGTGCCGACACCATCGATCTCATTATGTTGCAAGTGGATGTCGAAAATCAGGTAACTAAACAAATAAATTTCTTTTTAATCGTACGCCTTTTGTGGCATGCTGCATTTTATCGATTTGCTTTGACAATATTCGTTTCTGTGTTTACATCAGGGCACCTCTTTTTTGTTATCCGGACGTGTAACGAATTTGACGACGTCCTGGTCCCCTGCATCCAGAATCCATTTCGTCCACCTCACAATTGAGGACGAATTCATTGGTGTTGACATCGTCTTCCCGTCATCACAGTTACGAACGATTGTTGAATCTCTATTCAGTCATGCAGATGTTATCAATGCTGACTATATGGCCCTTCTGAACATGCTTGGAGAACAGACATTTGAAGTCATGGTCACAGTCGATCCCTGGAATGATGCATTTGGTTATTGTGAACTTGTGTTGGTGAAATTATTTTTGCCTTTGTTGAATTGAGTACCATGTCATGAACAATGAGACAATGTATTGAGTTTTCTTATTTTGGACTTGCATGTTATTTGTCGTAATACTCAACTAGATTAGATTTGTGATTAGTAAAATTTCATGTAAGTATTTTTATTGTGATTAGCTAATCTTCAAATGTATTTCTAACTTATTATGAATGTTCATTCATATTACATGTTCGTCTTCAACGAATTGCAACAATCTTATGATAATATAAAACAAGACTCATTTCTCGACACTATCATTATAGATATTGTAACTCCATTTCCTTAAACAAATGCGGCCAACGGACCGGGCTATAGGCTAGTAACTAGAGATAGAGAGAAATTTGTAGATCTGTTCTTCTCCTGTTAGTTTTGGTGGTCAATTTCTCTATGCAACCGCCTAATAAATTTTTTCTCCATCACATAGATCTCATAGTAGGTGAACTTATAAACACACAGCGATTACACTTGTTTGAAGGGGAAGAAGAAAGCACTTCGTCGGCGTCCGTCGACTTGGAATCGGAAGGCGATAAAGCGACCGGCCAGCCGGGCAGGAGGAGAAGTGTTTATCTTTGCTTTCTATTTAACTCACTTCATCAATAACATTCTGCCAGAGGTAAAAGAAAGGACTGCATCGACGAATTGATTTGCCGCCCTGGATGGGACTTTTCTCTTTATCTCTGATTAAAGTCCGTTTTCAGGAGATACGCGAACTTTTAGATGTAATCCGCGCTCCAATAAATTATAATCCGCGAATTATCTACGCTCTGTGATAAAACCGCGTTTTCACGCTTCAATTCGGGAGCGACAAGGGTTAACCCACGAATTGAGTGACCTAAGGGAAGACCATCAGCTAGGGTTTGGAAAGTAGGCTTAAGCCCAACCTTATTGGATAGCAAACTTGTTGTATGGGGGCTAGAGCTTTGGGTCTTATGTTTCTTTCTTTGTTGTAATTCTCTTTCGATCTTTCCTCTAGGGTTGTCCCATATGCTATTTAATAAATCCAACTTGTAAACAAAAAGGCAAAATTCATTCGTATAGTCAAACTTTTTACGTTTGTGAAGCCAAAACTTTTACGTTTGTGACAATAATAGCAACTTTTGGGGAAATACCAATAATAGCCACTTTTGAAAGCTTGATGACAATAATAGCCATTTCCGTTACATAATTTAACGACATTAGTTACACCGTTAGTCAAATTGATGGGACGATGATTTGGCTGCCAACTCGCCCTTTCTTTCGTTTCTACCTCAGCATTCATTGACAGGTGGACGACACCTCATTTACAAAAGTAGAAAAAAAAATTAACCTTACCTAAATCGGGGAAATCAGCTTGGTATCTCCATCCAAGAACTGCCCGCTTCCCCTCACCGTTGTCCATTCTCGTCGACCCAGCCGCGGCCGATCTCAATTTCCAGATGCAAGGCCATCAACAAGTTCTCCAAAGAAGATGATTGGATTTGAAAACAACAATGAGAGGAGACAATGGTTGAATCCTCTACTTCTTTCACCTCTTGTTATTTCCTCCCTACCGTCCACTTCCACCACCGATCTTCCTCTACAACCGGTTGGGATAGAAAAGAGGAAAACCCAAGTTGCTAAAGTGAAACATTTCTCTCGTCCAGACTCGACCACCACCACCACTCTTTTTTATTCTACCCGAAATAAGACTAGAGGAATAAATCCAATCTAAGAAACCCCACAGAAAACCCACAGGTAGTCGAACAAATCTCATCTCGAACAAATCCCCACAGAAATCCCACAGGGAGTTGAACAAATCGAAAACCCACAAGGAGTCCAACAAATCGAACAGTTTCCCCAAACTCGACCTTCTACCGGCTTGTGCGATTCGGGCAGGGTAGGAGACGAAGCGCCATAGAAGTGAGGTTGTAGATGAGAATCGGTTCATTATAGATTTGGCCTTCGATTTTAATGGGTGCTTCACATCTGACCCGCGATTCTCCTTCGAGTCATCCAACACTCAATTCGCTTCCGATGTTAGGCCGGAGCTGGCGGAGCCATCACTGGACACTTACGCGAGGGCAACGGATTGTTCATAAGTTTCGCCACCAATCGAGAGCTGGAAGTCGTTGGAGAAGTCACCATCGCCGTCCTTGAGAATTGAGCGTCGTCCTTGATGGCGGCGGGGGAGAAGATTGAGAATTGAGCACGATTCATCGACGATGGTGGTGAGAACGAGACGGAGGGAGAAATCCGAGAAGATGAGCGGCGGTTGGGGAAAGGGAAGGGGAAAGAACCGAGTGGGGAGAGAGAAAATAATAAATAATGAATTATTTATCATAATTTTTTTAATTAATTCCAGCTCATATTTTTATTGAATAAAAGTTTAACATGTCAGCTTTTATGTTAGTCTAGTCAGCACGTCAACTCACACCGTCAAAGAATTGGACGGAAGTGGCTATTTTTGGTATTTCGTCAAAAGTGGCTATGTTTGGTCAAACCGTCAAAGTTTTGGTTATACAAGTGTATTTTGCCAAACAAAAACTAAATTGAAATAGACTAAATTGAAATAGAGAACAAACGCAGTCAGCCATTGTACTTGCTTTCTACCTTGGTGATATCAGTTTGATTATATCTATGATTCACAAACAAAATTAGAGACAACATAGAAACGTGCGTTTTCAATAACAGCAAATTTCAAAGCATGAAGATTGCATTCTATATTTTCTGTAGATTTCCAGTTAAAAATGTAACAGCAGATGACACAAAGACAAAACAAACAATAACGTCTCAAGGGGTTAAATGAATTTACAGAGTAATAAGCCAATGTAACAGAAGGCTAAATTTCAACTGAAGGCAAATAATGTCTATCATGGTGCGCAGAGAGCTACCTGTATACTAAAATCCTGAACACAAAATGCGTATTATTTACAGCGAAAATGGCAAAAGAAAAGAAAAATACCACACTCTACCTTTAAATTGCACAATATGTACCATTCTACAGAACCACCATTTTTTTTATCTGTTTAGAAGCAATTGCTGACTTCTACTCCTATCTGAATGCATAAGGGAGCACCAAGGCATAATTAATCTAGCAAGTAATCATATGGAAGAGCAATGTGGCTGAATAACTAACGACACAAGTACCCAAACCCATGCAAAAGCTGAAGACATTCTGTATCCTATACTTATGGTATGATTCTACAAACCAAATTATGGACCAGAGGTCGCGGCCTTCGCACATTGAACAATGACCAGACTCTTCGTCTGCGGCTATCCTGATTTCTCTTATTTTCCCCTCGACCAATCAACCTTCCTCGCGTCTATTCAAACTACTCCATCATTGACTGAGAAAGACAATACTGAGCTCAACACTGAGACGAGAATGATCACAGAGCAAAAGAAAGAAACAGCTGCAGCCCGATATCTGCCGCAATCACAGGACAATAAACAAACAAAAGACAAAAACAGACTTCTATGCATTTGCAACACTTGTATTCTCAGACTCGGGTGAAAAAACATCTAACTTGTCGCGCCCTTTATCCAAGTATTCTGTACAGCTTTGCTAATCATTAGGAGGATCGAAGATCATTTCCTGCATCAAATGGAAAACCAGACACAATTTTCATTATCAATATGCTATTCCCTAACGGTAATCAACTGACTGACATGTTATGAGATTACAAACCTTATCACAAACGGGACATGTGTCACTTCTTTCCATCCACTCGAAAATGCACGCCAGGTGAAAATGATGCTCGCATTTGGTGATGATTCTCGGGTTTTCATCATCGTACTCTGCGTGGGATGGAGGACAAAAAAGGGTGACAAAGGAGGACAAAGCATCAAAGAAATGGAACCAGTCTATAATAGGACGGGAATCACCTTCCAGACATGTGGGACAACAGTCCTCCTCTGTAGGCGGAACAAAAGGCTCAACTGGCTTGGTAATCTCTACCTCTAACTCCTCTACCGGTTCAATTTCTAAGCCTGCTTTAGTTTTGTCTGAATCCTTGACATCGTCACACTTAACAGATGCATCTTGAGTACCAGCACTGGCTGATTCTTGAACGGAATCAGAGTTTGCAGTTTGGAGTGTTCCATCCCTCTTATTATCGCTACAAGTTTCTTGAGCTCCGGGAGGAGTTTGTGGACGCCCTATAACAACATCAAATGGCATGGGTGTTGGAGGGGGCCTATAAGCATCAGGGATGGAAGTGTCCAGGTTGGTATCAACAAGGAGCCCAGTAGAGAACGTAGAGGCAGCAACATGGTGAGCTGACAATGGGACACGCTCTTCTGATGCTCTAGGATACTGCATATAACCAACAAGAGGAATAATGGGTCAGCACGCAACTGCAGCAAACTGGCTAGCTTGATTTACCAAGCACAAAAAAATGTAAGAACCGGTCACCAAAACCTTCTCTATCCTAAACGCAAAAGAGACGCATTCACATCAGATAATTGCCCGAAAGAATGAAATGGCAATGGAAGCTACTATCAACTTCACAAAAATTATCCTAAAGCGTAGCCCATCTCATGTTGCATTCCAGCAATATACAAATTGGGTAATCCATCCAAGTTGCTAAGCGAAATTCTAGCACAGAAGCAGTACATAAAAATCAGCACTTTAACATTTCTGTAAACCTCAATTCCCATAGAGAACAATTCTCTTGTATCAACTTCCAACTGAAGTAATCAAACCCAGAAACAGTTCTTGAGAAAGCAGATGAAAAGAAGTATGAATTCACCACACTAGACAAAAAGAAACCCATCAAAGGAAAAACATCCGAATACTATCTCAATCCTGAACCAAACAGAATTACTTGGAGGGCTACTGACATAGTAATAGGCGGGAGTAGGATTAAGTTCAGTTCCCTTGGAGGAACAGCAGCAGCAGCCTCCCATGATATATACTTAATTTTCCTCGTCCTCCCCCTAATTATATCCGGTTCCCATCCAAGACCATGTCAAAGCTCTTCTTCTGCCTCAAGTCTCATGCCGGCGCAGCAGCTCCTGCCAAACAATAATAACCCTCTATTAACTTCAGCAAACAGAATATGCTCAAATGAAAAATGGAAGGAATATCAACTAGGAAAAGGACAACCGAATTGACTATCGACCAATAAACCCTAGGCCACGAGCAGCCCAATCAATCACTTTCATCGCCACCAAGGAAAAACCAGAAGCGTAGATGAAAAGGGGAAAATCAAAATCACATTAACAGTAAGCATATATCCATGGAGCTGAAGGAACGATCAAACAAGCACGGGAAAAACAGAGAGAGAAAGAGAAGAGAGTTAGAAAAGGGAGCAGGAAAGTGATGCACTCGGTGACGATGACAGGCAGACACCATGACTGCTCCGAGCCAGAGAGAGATGCAAACAATACGGAGCTCGTGAATCGGAGTCGAGAGAATGGAAGGAGGGAATGGATCGTACCTGATCGGAGAAATGAAAGAGGAGAATTGCTCCGGCGATCGGGAAATTGGAAGGGGAGAAGATGAAGAGAGAAACAGCAGCTTCGGGGCGGTGGAAGAGCGAGAGAAAAAGGGTTTGTGAGAGTTTGTGTAGTAGTAGAGGGAGATGGATAGGTTTGGTTGGCGTGCGTGTAGAACAACATTGCCACGGAAATGGAAAACAATAATATAATTTTATAGTTATCAATAATTGGTACGGTATGTCATTATCTTTAACAATTAGGAATTTTTGTTAGTTAACCTTAATCTAAGCTTTGTGCTGTATGGCCTAATCTTATGCTTGATTCATTAATTATTAGTGATTAGTCTGTGCGGAAAAAAATATTATGATTGGTCGTATGGTCCGAACAAAGACAATCTAATCATTTGAGATAGTATTTCAGTACCCCTAACACAAGGCGGTCACCTCCATTTGTTAGAACAGCTTCCATCGAGTCTCTGCACCTATCCTGTTTTATTCTGTCTTTAGGAATTTTTTTCGGAAAACAGGATTTGGCTGTTAATTAATGTAATTACAAAATTTCATATTCAATTAAATAACAGAATATTATTATTATTTGGATAAAAGGTTCCTCCCGCCTAGGTGTCAGTCGGTCGGTTTCGGTTTAACCAAAAATTGAAATCTCGGTTATCGGTTAAACCGAGCCACTCCCTATGACTGCCGGCCACCGACCGTGGGAAAGCCACGGTTAGCCGGTCAACCGACCGGTCGGTTTTAGATTTAGGCTCGGTTAGCCGGCTACCAAAAAACTACCCCTTCTTTCCAAAACGTTGGCGTTTGATAAAAAAAACAAAAAAAACCCACGGAACAAAAACATCCACCGTCTTCCTCACAACAACTGCTTCTCTCTCCTTCCTTTTCTCCATTTTAGATCTGCCTTCTCTCTCCTTCCATCTCTCCATTTCAAACATGAAGAAGCAAGCAGCAGTCGCCAGGAGAGGACGACGAAGGCGTTGACCTCCCGAAGGCGCGGAGTTGATGCTCTCCTTCGCTGATACTCGACGACGACGATGGAGTCAGAGACGGAGGCGCAACGCGAGTAGGGGACGACTACGAATGCAGAGGTGGAGGTTCACAGGAGAACTGGGTAGAGTTAGAGGTGAGGTGCGCAAGGCAGTCAAAAGCGCGATTCTACCTAGAAGCGGAAAAGGGGTAAAATCGTAAAGCGTAGTATCAAAGCGTAAAAGCGTAAGTTTTTGACGCATACTGGAAAATAATTAAAAATCTATTAAATAAGACATATACTATATAAAATATGAATGCACAGAAATTAGATAAGTTAATAAATACATGCAATTCATGCTTAAAGTAGAGCAACTTATAGCATCTTAATAATAAGTTCGTAAACATAAATTTTAACAATAAGCCACTTTTCCTTATATGCTAATGAATTTGGGAAAAGTCTAGCAGGTGAATTATATTACGCTATTGAAGTTGAGAATGCATCTAAGTACCTGATATGTATATTCTAATCTCAAATGTATCATATTGTTGGTGATTTACCTGTAAAATATACTTTTTATAATTAATTTCATGAACTCATTTAGTGAACTAAAAGCGTAAAAACGTAAAGCGATTTGGCGAACTAGAAGCGTAAAACCTTAAGTTTTTAAGCTTTAAAGCGCAATTTAGTACGATTTTATACACTTAAGTTTTTAGATGGAAACGAAAGCGTTTTGGTGGTCTAAAAGCGTAAAATCGTAAGTTTTTAAGTTTTAAAGCGCGATTTTGACTGCATTCGGCGTGGTGCGACGCGAGATCGGGGAGATGGGGGAGGGTATTCGAATTAGGTTATTTGATTTGGGGATGAAGGGTTTTGTGCGATTTTGGGATGGGGAGAAGGGGATTTTCGGTGAGAGTCGGTTATCCGGTTAGTCACGGTTAATCATTCCCGGTTATTCGGCTAACCGGAGCCCTTTGATGGGCATCCGATTTTTGCCGGTTTTTGGTTAGTCGGTTACTGTCGGTTTCGGTTAATCGATTATTGTTGATTTTTCGGTTATAACCGGCGGCTAACCGCTAACCGGCAACCGATTTGCAAGCCCTACTCCCGCCCATTGATAGACCGACGGCTGACTTTTCTTTGGTTTGTTTAATAATCCGGGACGTGTGTTCCAGGTTAACGCCTAACGGTGCGGAAATTTTAGGTAAAGCCTGTTCGGGTGGCTGGGCCTGGGTTTGGGCCATGGCCTATGGGCCAGGACCTGCACCAATCGGGTGCTCACCTCAGCTACCTTGGCTCTTAACATTCCGTCTGGGAGAGGGGAGGGCAACTCATAAAGCATAAAGAAGTGAAGAGAGAATGTCGACTAGAATGTGAAGAGTGTGAGGAAGTAAAACTTCTCTGTTTGGTAACGCTGATGATGGAACTCAACAAAGTGGAAAATGTACTTTTGCCATGTTTAAGCTAGATGATGAGGTGGCTTTGTACAATAGCAAAACTGTAATATGGATTGTTCCGTTGTAAACACCACTTTATTTGTGCGACAAAGATGTGACAGTGTCACATTTCTAATCTAGGAATTATTTCTAAAACTTTTCAGGTCACACCTAGTAAATAGTGATGATTCAGAAATATGATTGGACGATCATAGATTATACTTATTTAGTTTGTTGATCCATGCACATATTTATGAAAGTTATAATATAATTATATGATTTTATTAACCATCCTTATCTCTCACGCGATAATGGGGTGACAACTTGGCATGCAAGTTGCGACATATCTAGTTCTTCAACTCCGTCATTTGCTTTGCTTTCGGTGCTCCGTACACGTCCATGGGTGGTAGCATGGTTGTCACGCCGGCCGGCGTGCCACTGGTTGAACCTGGTTCAACCTATACCGGTCATAAAATCGGTATGACCGACATGATCGATAGGCGAATCTCTAAGTAAAATGATCTTATATTAGTGAATTTATTTGATAAAAAGTAATTTATTATTTATTTTATGTGTTAAAAAGTTAAATGTTGATGTTATTTGTTGGATTCAAGTACAAATATTTAGGTATTGACGTTAAATGTCGTGCTTAAATATGACTATTTGTAAATTATTTGTAATATTAACCGGCATGAACCGGCACAAACCAGCATGTACCACCGGTCGAACCATTCCACTTGCTAAACCGGCACACTGGCACAAACCGGTTTGACAACCCCGTGGTAGTAATATAGTAGTGCAGGCAAGGCCGACTTATGGCAAGGAATATTATAAGGGGAGCAGAGTGATAGTGGTTGACCATAACGGCGGCTGGGATCGGTGGACGGCAACCATCCGGGTCTCTCCGTCGAGCTGATTTTATTTTTCATAATTTAGTTAAATTTTATTTCATAATTAATCTGCCACCGATCGGTGGACGGCAACCATCCGGGTCTCTTCGCCGAGCTGATTTTATTTTTCATAATTTATTAAAATTTTATTTCATAACTAATATAGTAAATTATATTGACAAAGTAAGTGGAATGATAAGGTGAAAAAATAAATAATTTTTTTAATTTTTTTCGAAATATATTGAAAATTGTTTTGAGTAAGTGTGTATTTTGGGGGAATCCCATAATACGCAACTTTGTAGTTTGTACACACTTTTCTCTGTGATACGGTTCTAGATGTAGATGGGCACTGGGCCGTGGTTGGGTCGGCACGGGCACGCTTCGGGCTCATTTATTTCGTGTCGTGCTTGGCACGACTCTTCAGTTTTCGTGTCGTGCCATGCAAGCCCATTTGTTAACTTTTCTGGGTCCGGCCCAGGCCCGAGCACAGTTCAAATCATGTCGTGCCTATTCGTGCTCGTGCCATGCTCGTATTCGTGTTTAATGAAAAGGACGAAAACAAAAGATAGAATGAAAAAGAATGCGAAAAATGAACGGATGAAGATAGTATTAACCGATAATGTTTGAGAAAAGTAACAAATAAGGGGGAGAAGAAAATTGGAAGTATAGCGAGTGTGATTTGGCTTTGTTTAATTTTTTGTCCATTTTTACTTATGTTGGTAATTACGTATATCTTTATGACACTTCTAAAAACAACAAATAATTATTTTTTTACTTGTGTTTTGTAATATTTGAACCTATAATTATTTTTATATTTATTTTCTATCAAATAAATATTATTTTCTTGCCATGTCCGTTCTTATACTCAATAAAATCTCTAAAAGAATAGGCCCGACACAACCCACTTATATACCGTGTCGTGCCTATAAAATTTAGACCCGACACGGCCATATATTCGTACTCGTGCCGGGCTGACCCATTTATTTCGTGCTCGTAATCGTGTCGTGCTCTAACCGTGCCGTGCTAACCCGTGGGCGGCACGGCCCGGTGCCCACGTACAGTTCTAGAGCTAAGATAGGCCCTACTCTTGGTTCCGCAAACCCTATGAATTGGGCTTGGGCTTTTTTGTACAACGTTTCCTCTTTGCCTCGTTGGTCGTTGCCTTCGCCCATTCAGAGTTTACAAGCTCCGTCTCCCCCAGCCGCCATTCACCCTCAATAAGTCTACCACCGCCTGTAGCACGAGACGTAGAGAAAGAACACGATGAGGCTGCTGACTCACAACATGCTCTCCTCCAACATCAAGGCAGTCGCCAACGGCTTCCCGCTCCGAATCGATGCCGAGAAAGTGATCCACAAGGAAGTCGATCTCAACCCGGATTTCCTCCGAAACATCTTCTCCCGGATCGAGTGGAGGGCTCTCGCCGACGCCGCGAGGTCCCTGGGCTACGCCGAGCTGCCGGAGGAGGCGGAGGAGTCGATGCTGGAGTCCGAGGAGTTCCTCGGGAAATTCCACCACGCGCTTCTGGAGATCCACCTGGAGGAAGGGGCGTTGGTCTGCCCGGAGACCGGCCGGAAATTCTCGGTGAGCAAAGGGATCCCCAATATGCTTCTCCACGAGGACGAGGTATGAACGAAATCTCCCCACGGCGGCGCCAATGGAGTAGGGTTTTGTAGGAAGATTTTGTCTTTCCCTGTGTGGGTTTGTGGGGTTTTGAATTTGATTGCTTGACCGGGTTTAGGGTTGGTTTTGCAATTTCGTGAAGAATTGAATTACATAGTTCCCCTTGTGGAAATGTGAAATAACATTCCCCTGTTTTAGCACAATACGGTATTTTAGTTTATGGCAATGAGAGTAAACTTGAGCGAAATACAAGCAAGCCAACGCTGCAGATTGCTAAGGCCACTGCTCCTATGTGAGTTGCACTAGATCACAATCGTGCATAATACATTTCTCTGTGATGACATTATTACTCTAGGCTCCCTGTTATTGGGGTTGCACGGCAGAGGATGAATCAGCGAACGCGCTCGTCGGGACAATGGTAACGTGAGATGGAGTCCTCGAATGGACCCATTCGTTACGAGCCATTAGGACGAGTTATCTTTGCATCAAGTTCAACATTGTAATGAATCGAAATACAAGAGGTTTCAGATCCAACTACAAGGAGGAATGATAGATTGAAACGGACAGATCTGTCGCAGACATCATTAACAGTTTGAAGAATTGTAAGTGAACAATGTCATACCAAGAAAACTAATTTCATCGTATCAACAAAATATCTACAGCCAGATAACAGCTTTTGCACTGCAGTGCCATGTTTCTTCACAAACCCTATGAATGATAAACACCTAGAGTTCCAACGGCCGACCTGGGACGTGAAAGGCAAAGGAGGGAAACCAAATTGGCCAGTGTTAGAATCCGGGGAGAAAACAAAGGAAAGGGTCATCTCCCGGACATCATCAGCATATGCATATGTAATTAGAGCAGATCTAAAAAAGATGGTTAGGGTTATTATCTCTCTCCTAATATTTACACTGAGTAGTAGTAGCCTTTCAACTCTCGCTTCACTTTGCTGTTGGTGGTATCGCGAACTGTTTCGGTCTCTTTGCTGCGTGCATGACAAACCCCATGATCACTTCCTTCTCGTTGAGTCGCTGCTGCAACCGGAAAATATATTATGTTAACAAATTTTCCATCTTTTGGAAGGAAGAAGAAGAAACAGAGATACACACCATTGACGTGAAATGCTGTTGCACAACAGCGAGCATCTGTTCCCTCGGTGAATCAATGTTGATGCCAGCCTAGTGTCAAAGAGAGATCCCATTGGAGCACTATGTTAACAAAGTGTATAGATTTTAGAGGAACATGCAGAGAAAATAGCTTAAAGGGACAGGAACAAAGAACACTCACTAGCTTGTAATGCTTGCAATATCTCCACAATGAATCCTTCCCTAGTTTCGCCAAATTCACTTTCTACAAACCCAGAATTTGGCTTAATTTGCTTGAGTGCTAACAAGTGAAGATGGCAAGCAAAACCTAACGCAATGCAAGGATTCTTACTCTCCGAGATGTATGGATAATTGGCTGAACATCCCTAAAACTTATGCAATTGACCGACTTAGCTGCTGGAACTACAGGTGGATAACAGGAGGATGGCTTGGCTACTGGACGAGCTCTAGGCTTGCTGAATCTGTGGAACTGGCTGCCATTATCTGGAAAAGAGGGAACACCAACATTATTATAAAGCTCTATAAGACTATAATAACCCATAAAAAAGAAATAGAACAGAACATCATGGGTATTGATAACGTACAGAAATCATGGTCCTTTTCACCAATGTCAGAGCCACTGCTGGTATAGAGATCAAATTCTTCTTCATCTTTCACTTCATTCCCCGTCGGATGTTCCAGTACGCTAAGCGCATTCCTTTGCAGCTTCACTTCAACCCCATTTTTCAAGACCTTGGATTTTCCATAAAAAAAAAAACAAAACAAAACGAGAAGTCAAAAATACTCTGTGAACAATATGAACGAAAGAGGTCAAAAAGGTTTGCGAAGAAGTCAGTTTCTGATTATCAGCCGAAGAATTATATACAGAACTCACCGACAGATTGAATTTGCTAGCACTGGCAGCCATGATTATGGAGAAGAGGAGATGAGAGGTTTTTAGGGTTCTGATTGAGCAGCAAACCCTTTCTTTGAAACAGAGTATTTATAAGCAATTCAAGTCTCGGCTGAGAAATCGTGATCGTAATCCAATACTAGTATGGTAACTTAAGATATCTTCTTTAACAAACAAGGGAACTAAATCGATGATGGGATTACGAAAACAAGGAATCCGCGGGTGATACGGCGCAATGGAAGGCTGGAGATCTTGGCCAAGTCTTCAGATTGGGCTAGTAGGCGTATAGACTGGACGGGCCCAATGAAAAAGATAGTTATCCATCCCATTTTCCAGAACTTCTTTCTTTGTACTGTGTCAGTCAATTGTATTAGAGAGAATCCATTAATAATAGTGTTCTCTCATTCACCCAAAACCCAAATCACAGAACCCCACTACTAAGAATAGTAAAGTGCTTAGCTTTACTATGTCAAATTCAAAGCCGTCAAAATCGGGATTTTACGTAAAATCAAAAATGGGGTAAAATCGAAATCGTAAAATCGAATCGTAAAACCGTAGGATTTTAAGGTCCATATTAAAATGAAGACGAAATAATATTTGTAAGGAAAATCATGAATAACACAAAAGCACATAACACTTACAATGATAATTTTTCAAGGTTAATGTTCTAATTTATCAAGGTTAATGTTAAGAGGTGATGAATCGATGATGACTAATACGTTGATGTGAATTGATTATAATCAATGGTGATTAGTGTGAGAGAACTAGATGATGTTGGTGAAGGAGAAGAAAAAGAGGCATAATTTTGCAAATTCTGGGGGAAATATGTAAAATTTACTCTAAGATTTTAATCGTAAAATCGTAAGATTTTGAAGATTTTAATGATTTAAATCGTGAATAGTGTAGGATTTTAAGGTCCATAGATTTTATAGTGAAATCGGAATCGGAATAGGTAAGTAAAATCATAAAACCGTAGAATTTTAGGATTTAAATCGGGATTTTGACTACTCTGGTCAAATTAACAGGAGCAGACAAAAAGACCCCCAAAAAAAAAAATACTCTGTTTTATCACCATGATAGTAACAAGACTCAAAATGAAGCTTAGGACTAATGGAGATTGGAAACAAAGGAATGATGGGGAAAGAAAGAAAGAAAAAAAAAAAAGGAATTACCAGCCAATGCCAGCCTCCAAGGCCAACAGCTTTCTTGACCACGCCTTGTAAGCCCACAAGAACAGACTTTGTTCTGTTGTTTCCCGTGACGACGACCTTTGTGTGCCTGGGCAGAACGGTGAGCTCTTCATCGCCACTCTCGTCTCTAAAAGGTGACAGCATGCGAGCAGAGCAAAACTCACTGTTCACCAACATCCTTCTTCTTTTTTTCCACTCCTTTCTCTCTCTCTAATCACCACCCCACGGCCAGACTCACAACAATCCAGCCCGCCACTTTTAATCCCTCCACTTCCCCAGAAGAACCCTAATCCAGCAATCTTGAAAAGCTCTGATGGGTAATTGCTAACTGTCAGCTGCGCTCAAGTTGCTAAAATTCCGAGCTGCAGTCAGAGTGGAGTGGAGTGAGTTGGTTGCAGAGCACAGAAGAAGCAATTGGATGGAGCCTGTCAGGGGAAAGAAGCAATTTATTACTCTACTCCCTGAGACAGATAGATTAGAGGGTAGAGAGAGAGAGAGAGAGTGAGAAATGGACGGAATCACGGACTAGAATTGAAAGCAATAAATGAAACATACTACTACTGTTTCGAATCAGATAAGAACAGAGAAGAGATGATTCTTTCTTTGTCCAAGCTAATAATAATAATTCATCCTCGAACGAAGCTGCAATGGCATTACAACAATAACACAAATACCACTCAACCCTGCAACAAACAAACCCAACATTCTTGTTTTGTTTGTCTGTGTGCGCGTTCCTTTTTCAAAAAAATTCCACCCTCTCTGTCTCTCTCTTCGTCCAGAACAGTCCAAAACTCACCTGAAGATGGTTTTTGATTACCAAAGATTGAATTAAACAATGTTTGCTTTTCCTTGAAATGAAAACCAAATTGCGGAAATCGATCAGGTACTCTGAAAGAAGGTGAAGCATAAACAATAGCATTGCCATTTGCCAATCGGCACAACTTTAGCAAAGCTTTCTAGTCGATATGCTCCATAAACCCCAAATAAAAGAAATTTCTTGCTCGACCAGGATCGCAGTAAGTCATTAAATAAATAAATAAAAAGAGAGAATTCCGCCATACCTATTCATTCATCCGTTAAAAGAAACCAAGACCCAATTGAGAAAAGAAAATAGGGAGTTACCTCTTGATTACATGTACCAAGCTAGAAAGAATTCTACTAAATTATCAATGGCCACAGTCGGACGGAGTAAGAGAGAGAATGAGAGGAATTTGAAACGGCAGAAGGGAAGAGAAGAGAAGAGAGGAGAGGAGCACAGGAATCGGAGAGGGAGGATGAGAGAGAGAATGTTTTTTGGAAAAAGATGGGAGGAAGAGAAGAGAGAAGGGAGAGCAACACTTTCACTCACACACTATAAATGCATTACCCAACCGCCATGCCCGTGGCCAGGCCGAAGAATGGGAACAGGCAACGACCACCCGTACGGCGCCTTGGCTCTCCTCTCTGCCCGCCGGTTCACCGGCTATCCCCCGTCGTCTCCTGTAAACAAACGGGCTTTGAAATTAGAGGACAGGGTTTCTACTTTCTATTTAATATTTTCTGTGCTTGGGGCTTCGTGGTCGACTAATCGGCTCGCCCAGCATTTTGTGCTTTTTTGGGTATTTGTTTGTGGGTTTTCTTGGGAAGCCTCTTTGTCGTTATTTGGAAAGGGTAGCGCTTCGCTGCCTTGACCGGAAGTTGGTGTTGGAAAAATCATCATTACTTACTGCTGCACTACTAGAGAAGAGTGCTAGGTAGGGGCTGCTAATTATTAGGTCAATTAACATGCATGGCCTTACTAGTTAGTAGTTACTACCACTAATAGCCAATTTGTTGCTCAAATTATTGTTTCTTCAACAAATTTTACCTTTATTGTTTTGAGTAAGTAACATAATAAGGTCAGTGGCAGATCCAGGTCGTTTTTACCGTGTGATTTGGGTTACTCCAAATTTTTCATAATTTTGTTATGAATCTCTTTAATAGTTTGAGTTTGGGGAAAATGATGAAAAAGGTGATTTTGTGATTCAAATTTGGGACACTGCAGTTACTTAGAAAAATATGTCCATTACTTTACTAATCATTTTGTTAGTATGTTAAAAAAAATTAAATGTAATTATAAACTAAAATAAGTTAATTGAATCACGATTTCTTCACTTTTTTCATCAAACTCGTAAAAATAACTTCTAAATTTCTCAACCATTACGATATTGACGTAGCAACAAAAAAAAAAGCAAGATTGGACTGCTCTCCGTTTCGTCTTTTTCAATTGTTTGTGTGAACGAAACCCCAAGTCAACGTTTAGCCTCCAACCCTTGGTCGTCGATTTTGCTTCTCGGGACTCCAGTTGTATTTTCTGAAATATTTTTGTAGATTGTGCTGGTTAGATAGATTAATTTTGATTTGACTTAATTTTTTGTTTGATTAAATTTTTTGGAAGAGGAAAAGGCTAGATAAACTTTTTGGTCTGTCACATAATAAGGTAACTCGCATTTTATTTTTACGTTAAGATCACCTTACAAAATTGTTCAAATTAGCAAGCGAATCAACAGAATCAATAATCGCATATATCATATGGTCAATCGTGATACAAACTACTCATTTTAATACCTATCTTATTTGAAGCAAAATCATATTCGATCCAAGTCTAACTTACTTTGCGTGAAACCTCCCTAATTCATGCGCAGTGAGTTTGGTCGAGCAATGTAAAACCATGTGTTGTGTGTAATCATCCTTATTCTGTTATCAATTTTTTTACAAAATAACACTGTATAACACATATAAGCATGATAGATTATAGCGTGGAGAAAGAGTATTTAGTATATGTTAATTTAGATAATTTCTGTATGTACAAAATAATAGATGCCCTTGGATCTACTTTTTTCGTATCCAATAATTATGGATGGATTTAATGGGGCCAAAGGCATCCCATCTTTGCTGAGGGTGGTGGCCAAGTAGAAAGTGTATCCAATGTTTCCGACAACTGGATATTTCAAGATGTTGGCCCCAGGAACGGGATTGGGTACGGTATGTGTATCGAACATTAATTTGTCCATTAACTCGATTATTAATTCTGGGTTGCGCTGCTTAATGTTACTGCTGCTTGATTATGAAGTATAGGGGTGTTCAAACGGCGTGGTTATTATGGTAACGGTTTTAACTAGTACTATTTGGATAATTTGGTTTGGTTAATTTGGATAATTGGTTTGGTTTGGTTAAAGGTTTTAGCTTGTTTGGTTTAGATGGTTTGATTTGGTTTCAGACACTCCTAACCAGTCAAACCAAATTAACCAGATAAATAACTAGCCATATATCTACTATATACATACTTAATACTTTGAATAACCACTCAAGAGTTAAACGTTCATCCATTTTAGACTCATAAAAATATAAAGCTTGATATTGTTCCTATAATGTATGTTTGTATATGTAGAGTGTAGACCACAACATATGAACGCCTAATTTAGATAAATCTCATACATTATGTTGGGTGAAAACTTGAAAGCAAGGTATTTTTTATGAAAATTGCTAAAAGACTAAGTCAATTCAAACAAACACAACAATACATTAACCCATACCATTATGATAAATTTTTGCTAGGTGAATACTTCTATACTAACCCATACCATTTCAACTCAACTATCTCAACAATCACAACTAAAGGGGTCGTTTGGAAGTTGTGATTGTTTTGTTGAGATTGTCATTATGCATGTATTGTTTACAATGCATCGCTTTTTTATTTTTTTAGCAAAAACAATACATGGATTGTTTCTATGATGTGACAGAAATTATCACTCATTTTGAGTGATTGTTATATCTCAACTTTTAGTTGTGATTGTTGAGATAGTTGAGTTGTGATTGTTTTGTCTCAGCTTTTAGCTGATGCGATATACACAATCACACATACCAAACGTTGTATTCTACAATGCATCAAATTCGATAATACATGTATAATATTATACATGCATTCTCAACAATACATCTATTTAACAATCGCAACTTCCAAATGACCCCAAAAGTTGTTGGGAGAGGTTCAAATGACCCCAAAAGTTGAGATATAACAATCACTCAAAATGAGTGATAGTTTCTATCACATTACAGAAACAATCCATGTATTATTTCTGCTAAAAAACAAAAAACGATGCATTATAAACAATACATGCATAATGACAATCTCAACAAAACTATCGTAACTTCCAAATAACCTTAAAAAGTGCCAGCTGGAAAACCCCGGCTGAAGCAAAACTGCAAAAGTCAAATCAAAATAATTGTAAGAACAGGCAGCCGCCCCCTGCAAGCCGAGCCGACTGGCGCGAAAGAGAGAGCTGTGGGTGTGAATGGCGTAAACGTGTCAGAGACACAGCTGTCGGATCTTATAGCAGCAAAGCAACGATTTGCATTTTCTTCGCAATTTATACACAGTAACCACCCCCAACCCTATCCACGTTTGTAATATGAATAGAGAATTAGAGATTATGGCATTGCAAGCTTGGTCCATCAAATTGTATCGACGATTCAATCATAATATATCAATATTAGAGATTAGAGATTAAATCAGTAGACAATATTTAATGGTACTAATAGTTGAATTACAATTAAATTATAATTTTATCATAAAATATTTTATCGCTGTTTTTTCCATAACTGTCTCCAAAACGGTTTCATGGACCATGACGACTGAGGGAAAAGGAAAGAGCTTTTTGTCCTTTCTTTTCCTTTTTGAAATTGGAGATAGAAATGATGATGACTGGTGATACATATGATATAGTACTGCTGACTATACAAACATACATCAAAAGGGAAATTCAGAAGCGCCTATACATTAGAAGGGGGGAAATGAAATTGAATTTATTCAACTAAGAAAAATTAAATTGAATTTTGAGAATTTGTTTCAAGTCCAGTGTGTTGCAGGCAGCGTCGTCTTGCAGGATGCTTATTTTTAATACAATTAAATAAAATTTTAAAATCAAATTTTAAAATTTTAGTACTCAACTTTACTGCATTGATCTTATTATTAACCTTTTTGTCAAAAAAAAAAAATCTTATAATTAACCATTAACCAGGCTTATAAGCTTGGATATAACTTCTCAAAGAATTTCATTAACTGCACTAAATGAAAGCTAATCGGTTAACCAAAGATGAAGATGGCGCTCGTCGAGCCATCCAATTTTAACCAGGTGAATTCCAAAAGTTTTTTTTTCAACGACAAGGAAGCTGAACAGAAGAAAATAACCAGAAATCCGAAGTTAGATGATAGAGCTACAGCAGATGACGAACCGAGATACACAGGTTAGCCAGGAAAATCCTGCGGATACTAAATGAGTATACAAACATAACCCAGTTGGGCACAACTGTTAAGGGCTTCCCCCCCAATAAAATCAATCCTTCACAACGATAACTCTGGATATAACAGTAGGTAGAGGATGATTCTTTCGTCACAACCCCATCAATCATCTGTCGTCTACCTACGGTGGCTGCTGCGGTCTGCTGATGGAGAGCTTTCTCTGTGCCTTCTATGGGTATCATGATGATCATCCTTCCTTCTTCCAGATGGTGACCGTGATCTGCCTCGTCGATCCCTTGGGTACGGATCTCTCTCTCGCTCTCGGTGGTCACGTCTACGAGGTGAGTGGCTTCGCGAGCGCCTCTGACCACCACGCCCTGCAAAATTACATAGAATGTGACAACGCCGTGAGCTTTTGAAGGAGCCTATGGTTTCAGGAATCAAATTTAGTTGAGTGTCATTCATATGAAATTTAGGCCTGATTAAGAAATTACTTTAACAGTCTACCTAACGAAAAATTAACAGTGAATGACTTGATTAGGATTTAGGAATGATGGAAAAACCAAATGTAATACCACAGGAAAGAAATTTTAGTTGAGGAACCCCACATGACATAACTCTATGTAGTTACGAGGCTGGTAGAAAAAGGAGAAGCAATTCCAAGCAAAAATGATATAGTGACAATTCACAGGAAAAAACGAATGATCAAGCAACTAACCAAGCGAAGTCACCCCTCAAACGCTCGGTGCTTGATTAACAAAAGGATACATTGTATGAAAGAGCACGTACCTCGTCTCTCTCTCAGGCCTTGATACCTTCCGGGAGTTGGTGTCCTGCCACGAGACCTTTTAGCCTAGAATTGTAACCAAAGCAGAAAACCCAATGTCAGCAACTAGTAGATGTAACTCAAAAGAACTACAGAATATATATTGCCCGTACAGCCTTTTCGGAAAGCAGTTCCATTTCAAGAAGGCAAAACAGAGTTTTCCATATCTGCAGGCGATGGCAATAATCCGCACATGCATTTGTTTGTTTTTCAGCTGATTGTCATCGGGACATTTGTGGCTATATCATCCCTCTCTATGTAAGTGAATATCACACCACTGGAAGAAAATATGATAAAATGAGGGGGGGAAACTGAAGCAACTGGACCAGTCCTTAACTGTGACTTCATCATATGTTGAAAGAAATAATTAGACAAAAAATTCAAGGGCATATACTTTTTTACTAACGATGAGAAGGGAAGATAAACAACCCTCCGCAAATATAGTTGATTGATTTGAATCAATATCGATGGGGAATTCGACAAGTCGATGCGGAACTCATTTCGTGGTGATTGCAGATGGAATGGGGTTCAACGGTTTAGGAGAGCTTAGATTGGTGAATTCGATGATGGAGTTTCACAGACCAAAACCTGCTACCAAAACTTATTAGGCCTGAGCTTCTGGACCAAAAACCAATTGGTTCTAAACAACGAAAGACATGCAAAAAGTGCATACACAAGAATGAATGAAAAATCCTTGAATTACATGTCTTTCTATGTGTACCTTTTCCACTGTGACCAATCGTCCCTCAAGCACAGAACGGTTCAAGTACTTGATACAACGTTCAGCAGCCTCGGTGGTCTCCATGGTGATAAAAGCAAATCCACGGGATTCCTTGCTGCGGGGATCAAGTACCAGATTGCACTCCAGTACCTGAATCCAAAAAGTTGAATAAAATAACTCTACAACACTAAGCTATACACCATGTAGGCGACAAAACAAAGGTGATATGATAGACAAGTTCTCCATTGGTCTCTCAACAGAACCAGGGTCTGGGAAAGAATCTATTTCTACCATATAGTGAAGCACACACCTTTCCTTCCTTGGCAAAGAACTTCTCAAGATCACTGGAGGTAACCCTAGTGGATAAACCAGTCACATACAGGTTATTTCCAGGATTGTATGCTTCAACTGATTCTCGGCTCCTATAACACCGAAATAGAAACAAACCGTCACGTTTCCCCAGGACAACATATACTGAATGAAACAGGCGCCCACGATCCCAACACTGATACCTTGATCTGGAGCGACTTTTTCGTGACCGGGACAGCGATCTCGACCTTCGAGCTCTAGGAGGAGAGGCAGCTGAGGGACGTGGTGAAGGAGACTTGGAGTGTCCATGCCTACACATAATCGATCAGAATCCACCCAAATGTAAGGAACTTCATCATTAGACAATGCCAGAGGGGAAAGAACCACGGCAACCACTAGTGCAGTGACCATGATCAGAGGAAACTAACTCACCTTCCTTCCCTTGAATGTGACATCTACCAAAACCCTCCATGGAGCATCACCAAAATGAAAAGCAAGGATGGAAAATCACAATGTTAGAGAAACAGAACAAAGAGCTCAACGAAAATCATCCAGGAATCCGGAAATTTTCAGCTCATTCAATAGAAGAACGCAAAGAACACCGGCAATTTCACAAAATTAATAAAATTTAACGGAATCCCATCCCCCATAAACATTCTCACATCATTTTCTTCCTTTTCCTTTTACACTCTCCATTCCAACAGTTACTTTTCTCGGCTAGGAAGTGAATAAGAGGAAACAATTCAACCAGAACAACATACATTCAGGCATAATTGGACCAGATTTAAGCGCAGACGACCTTGAATTTTCAAAACCGTCAAAAACAATCTCAGTATACATAAAGCGGGAAATGGGAAGAGAGAAAGAAAGGATCGAGCAGAGGGAAAATTCCGAACCTAGGAGGAAGAAAAGAAGAGGTTGACTCTGAGAGATTGCAACTATGAACGGATGAGCTGACGAGTGAACGAGGGCGAGTGAGTCCACTCAGGATCCCTAACTCGGTTTTAAGGGGTCGTCGTATTCCTGGTTCGACAGACAGACACAGATGCAGACGAAAGCGGGGTCCTGAAGTAAAACCCCCCTGGCCCTGTGTGTGCGGGCTGAGCGAGGGAGGAAATTTTTCCATGCGATCGCACGTGCGAACCCAAACAATGCCCCGTCCAGAGTGCGGATCCTGTGACTAAGGGGGGTCCTTAGTCAAGTGACTAAGTCCTTTCTAACCCTTAGATCTAGATATCCTAATCTAAAGGTTGAAAAGTGGGAAGGGATATTTAACTAACAAAAAGGGTAGTTGTGGTATTATAAATAATTAATTTTTTTTTTTTTACTTTTTCCCCGGCCACACTTTTCAACTACCTCACGTCTTTTTTTTTTAAATACAATTCAGCTGCTTTTTTATTGGAGCTGACTTTTCTTTTATTAAATAATTTTTAAACTTCCCAGTCCAACTCATGCACATGCGTTTCCTTGATTTTTTTTTAATCAGTTTTTTATTATAAAAATAAAAATCACAGAATTAAAAAGTATACAAAACAATATTAAAAAGTATTAGAACCACATAATATAAGTATACAAATCAAGATAATATTATATACAAAGATTACTAAAAACAAAAAAATCACTACTAAATATTACATAGTATACATACCACATCATAAAAGTATACAAATTAATATTACAAAGTATATAAACCCGTGATCACATCATAAAAGTATACAGATAATACTGACATTGTATACAAAGCATACTAACCATACAAAACACAAAGCATACAAAACATACAAACCAGAAGTATATGAATGTTACAAACATGACCGACAAAAATGACAAACATGGTGAACAAAAATTACAAAACAAACCAACAAACATTACAATCATAAAAAAGCTTACAAAATTACAAGATAAACCGACAAACAGTACAAACCATACTAACAATACAAAACACCACTACTTATAATACAAATCGATAAACTGGGAAAAATTACAAACCAATAAATACAAAGTATACAAAATAGACAAACAAACATTACAAATTACAATGTATACAAATTAGTTATATAAACATTACTAACATGGTAGATAAAAATGACAAACAATACAAACCGAAAATGATATAAACATTACAAATGAGACTTATAAACACTACAAAGTAGGTTGACAAATATTTCTCTCTCTCTTTCTCTCTCTCTCTCTCGTTGCACCTGGTGGAAATGGTGGAAAGAATTCCCAGAACTCTCTCTGTTTGAACTTGGGGAATAAATTCCCATAACAAAAAGACAGGCGATGGAATTCCTTGCCGGCGGGGAAAAAAAACGAGACGGACGGCAGCAGAGAAGAGCCGGGGAAAAAATTATTTAGTAATTAAAAATAAAATAATCATGGACTTACAGTTTTGCCCTTCATTAAAGTAGATTAATTGTAGCCATTAGATTTTAATGAGATGGAAGGGCTGAGATTTACTTAGTCATGTGACTAAGGGACCCCCTTAGTCACCTGATCTTAGCCCCCCCGTCCACTTCTCATTTCATTTTCTGTTTTTCGTTGCCTCAATAAAAATAAGAAAATGAATGATAAAATAACGTGTTCATTTGTCATTCTGATTTTTGTTGGAAAAACTCTTTTGGGTTAATTGTAGGTTTGGTCACTATGTTTACTAAAAGGTTCATGTTTGGTCACTAAAAATATTTAATTTCATTCTTGATCACTAAAATTAGTTTAACTATCTAAGTTTGGTCACTGACCGTCCAAGTCCGTTAACTTTATCTGATGTGGCGGTCAACTCTCATAGTTGACCGTTAAATGTATGACGTGGTAATTAAAAAATAATTAAATTTAATATTTATAATTTTCCACCTCATACTATTAAAAAAATCCTAATTTCTTCAAAATCCTAATTCAATTTTCCAATTCAATCTTCACTACCACCAGTCCACCACGCCGCAAACAATGGCAACCCTATTCTTGTCTCATAGCTAAAATCCGGTAAGGATTATTGGTGGGGGTGAGGTGTACGAGCTCAGCGGTGGCTTTGGCGTTCGCGACAGCCACCTCCGCAGCGGTGGCCATACCAGCATCCCTCTTTACAGACGACGAGGTGCGATGAGATCTGGATATAACGCCCTAGGCATGAAGCAACGACGAGAAGGATTTGGGGGTTTGTTGGTGCGGAGAGGAAGAAGGCGAGAGGTTTGCGGCGGGATCCCATCAGCTGGATAGACAGACCAATCCGTCACCACCATCGTCAATGTTCTGACCAAAAAACCCAGCAAAAATCATCCACCGCTCGTCGCTGTCTTCCTCAGCATCCTCCTTAAAGATTCGTCGGCAGCCGACAATAGGAGATACTTTCCCATTTCAAAACCTAGCCCTTTGTCACAATATCCAGATCTGAAATCCACGAAACACACATAGATCTCCCTCATCTCTCGCCACGACCACGTTTCCGTCGGTCGTATTCACTTTTCACTACCGGAGAGCTTCATTCCAGAATAGAGCAGCAAGAGGGAGTGATTCTTTTTCATAGCTCTGAATCGTTAGCTGAGAAAATGAGGGCGCCGTTGTTACTGCTTGGTGATTGGTATTAGGGAAGACCCATTTAAAGTTGGGGGCTTGAGGTTGTTGGAGGGGACGAATCATTTACCCATGGATGTGTCATCTCTCCATTTTATTCCGAAGAAGGGTTTGAGTGTCATTGCCGCTGCCGTGAAGAAGTTCAGGTTTCAATTTGATGGAAGAACCGAAGAAGGGTTTCGACTCATCTCACCTGCCACCCTAGTTTTGATATTTTTATTTTTATTTTTTTAAGCTTCTGTTAGTGATGTGGAAAATTTAGGAGATAAAATATTATCTGTTTAATATTTTTGAATTGCCACACGTCATACATTTAACAGTTAACTATGAAAGTTGACCGCCAAATCAGACAAACTTAACGGACTTGGACGGTCAATGACCAAATTTGGATGGTTAAATTAATTTTAGTGACCATGAATGGAATTAAATATTTTTAGTGACCAAACATGAATCTTTTTACTAAACACAGTGACCACACTTGCAATTAACCCAAACTCTTGTGTAATAAATAGGTAGCTGGGTGGAAACAACAAAATCCAGTTTCTTGAAAAAATGGACATGGGTTTCTCCCCGTTGCCAAGCGGAAAAATTCTCATTGTAGTTAAATGAGCCCCAGTGTTCGAGTCCCCCAGCCCCAACTTTTTATTCTTTTTCCTCTTTGGAACCTAGTTCCATTCTGGCCTTCCTCCATAGCAGAGGTGTTTGCGTCGTGCAAAGCAGCCGCCTCGCAAGTCCCACAGTCGAGTTCTCCCAGTAGCGAGCTCCACTCCAGCCTTCGTCTTCCTCCTCCAGCCCAGATCGATTCATCTCTCTACCGACGACCGAGAAGCTTGTTGGAAATAAAATAATTATTTCCTATATAATTCACAAGACTAAAGGTTGGCCTCTTGGTGGGTGAATGCTCGTTATTGAGCTGAAATGGCAGAGGGTTTTGTTTGTTTTGGGAGAAGGAAATTTGCAAAGGGATTTAGAGAAGGTAGGAGACTTTGAACCATTCTTTATTAGGCTACTTGCCTTTATTTGTTTCCTATGCTCTGACACACAAACTAGAGCTGCCTTTTATAGGCATTTCAAATACAAAAAATCTACTGTAACCGACTTAAAGTTGTGGCCTTTAATTTTTTAATTCTTTATGCCACAACTACCAACCAACCTATTTAAAATATGTTCTACACAAATCCATACTAGCTGCTCACGTCTTCTAGCTAGTTCTGATATTTTCAATTTATTTAATTAATTAAACTTTATTTTATTTCAACACTCCCCCTTAAAGTTTAATTCGGTGTAACTCCGAGTAGCATCCTCATCTTGACGAACACATCTTGCTTCTGTGGTTTCGTGAAAATATCAGCAATCTGGTCTTCAGTCTTCACATACTTCAACATCACTTCTTTCTGCTCCACGCACTCTCGTAGGAAATGATATCTCGTATCAATATGCTTACTGCGATCATGAAACACCGGATTCTTTGCTAGCCCCAGGGCAGCCTTGTTATTAACATAAATCTCACTTGACTCTTCTTGTGTCATGTTCAACTCCTTCAGCAACTTTCTCAACCATATCGCATGACACGCACACGATGTCGCAGCAACATACTCAGCTTCACAAGTAGATAATGTAACGATAGCTTGCTTCTTTAAACTCCATGTGAAAGTTGTATCTCCCAGGAAAAATACGAATCCAGTAGTGCTCTTGCGATCATCCATGTCTCCTGCCCAATTACTGTCGCAGTATCCAACCAATTTGAAATTTTCTGACTTTGTATAAAGTAGACCATGATCAATTGTACCTTTAATGTAGCGCAATATCCTCTTTGCAACATTCCAGTGTGAGCTAACTAATCCAACTGCGTAGAGAATATCTGGTCTGGTACAAGTCAGGTATCTCAGACTTCCCAACAGGCTTCTAAACTCCGTTGAGTTGACCTTCTCTCCTTTGTCATCCTTGGATAGTTTCAGTCCACACTCTGATGGTGTGCTCACAAGATTACAGTTCTCCATCTTAAACTTCTTTAGGACCTCTTTGGCAAACCCACTCTGTGAGAAAAATATTCCTTCCTCCTTTTGAATTACTTCAATTTCGAGGTAGTATGACATCAGTCCGATGTCTGTCATCTCGAACTCGTGAACCATTGTCTTCTTGAACTCTTCAAACATTTGAGGAACGTTGCCTGTGAAGACGAGATCATCTACGTATAGGCAAACTATCAGGATTGCTCCCCCTTGCACCTTGCAGTATAGTGCATGCTCATGTGGACATTTTCTGAATCCATTCTGCTCAAAATACTTGTCAATCCTGCTATTCCAAGCTCTAGGTGTTTGTTTCAGACCATATAGTGCCTTTTTCAGCTTTAACACCTTATCTTCTTGACCTTCAATGATATATCCAGGGGGTTGCTCAATATAGATATCTTCCTCGAGATATCCATTCAAAAAAGCTGACTTCACATCCATCTGATGTATCTTCCATCCATTCAACAGTCCAGTCCCACGTTGCTTCTTCATCAACTACCACGTCTCTGCTGATGATCAGCTTCTCTTCCACGGGATCAAACATTTTGTAACCTTTTGAGTGTTCTAAGTATCCCAGGAATATG